CTTTTATGATGATAGATGCACTTTTATGATGATAGATGCACTTTTATGATGGATACAGATGCACTTTTATGATAATAGATGCACTTTTATGATGGATAGATGCACTTTTATGATGGATACAGATGCACTTTTATGATAATAGATGCACTTTTATGATAATAGATGCACTTTTATGTGGATAGATGCACTTTTATGTGGATAGATGCACTTTTATGAGGATAGATGCACTTTTATGTGGATAGATGCACTTTTATGATGGATAGATGCACTTTTATGAGGATAGATGCACTTTTATGAGGATAGATGCACTTTTATGATGGATAGATGCACTTTTATGAGGATAGATGCACTTTTATGAGGATAGATGCACTTTTATGTGGATAGATGCACTTTTATGAGGATAGATGCACTTTTATGTGGATAGATGCACTTTTATGTGGATAGATGCACTTTTATGAGGATAGATGCACTTTTATGTGGATAGATGCACTTTTATGAGGATAGATGCACTTTTATGATGGACAGATGCACTTTTATGAGGGATAGATGCACTTTTATGAGGATAGATGCTCTTTTATGAGGATAGATGCCCTTTTATCATGAATAGATGCACTTTTATGAGGATAGATGCACTTTTATGATGGACAGATGCACTTTTATCATGAATAGATGCACTTTTATGATGATAGATGCACTTTTATGATGGATACATGCACTTTTATGATGATAGATGCACTTTTATGATAGATACAGATGCACTTTTATGATGATAGATGCACTTTTATGATGATAGATGCACTTTTATGATGGACAGATGCACTTTTATGAGGATAGATGCACTTTTATGATGGATAGATGCACTTTTATGAGGATAGATGCACTTTTATGATGATAGATTCACTTTTATGATGATAGATGCACTTTTATGAGGATAGATGCACTTTTATGAGGGATAGATGCACTTTTATGATGGATAGATGCACTTTTATGTGGACAGATGCACTTTTATGATGGATAGATGCACTTTTATGAGGATAGATGCACTTTTATGAGGATAGATGCACTTTTATGATGGATAGATGCACTTTTATGAGGATAGATGCACTTTTATGATGATAGATTCACTTTTATGATGATAGATGCACTTTTATGAGGATAGATGCACTTTTATGAGGGATAGATGCACTTTTATGAGGATAGATGCACTTTTATGAGGGATGGATGCACTTTTATGAGGATAGATGCACTTTTATGATGATAGATGCACTTTTATCATGAATAGATGCACTTTTATGATGGATAGATGCACTTTTATGAGGATAGATGCACTTTTATGATGATAGAGGCACTTTTATCATGAATAGATGCACTTTTATGAGGGATAGATGCACTTTTATGAGGATAGATGCACTTTTATGAGGATAGATGCACTTTTATGAGGATAGATGCACTTTTATGAGGATAGATGCACTTTTATGATGATAGATGCACTTTTATGAGGATAGATGCACTTTTATGATGATAGATTCACTTTTATGATGATAGATGCACTTTTATGAGGATAGATGCACTTTTATGAGGGATAGATGCACTTTTATGAGGGATAGATGCACTTTTTATGAGGATAGATGCACTTTTATGATGATAGATGCACTTTTATGAGGATAGATGCACTTTTATGATGATAGATGCACTTTTATGAGGATAGATGCACTTTTATCATCAATAGATGCACTTTTATGAGGATACATGCACTTTTATGATGGATAGATGCACTTTTATGTGGACTGATGCACTTTTATGAGGGATAGATGCATTTTTATGATGGACAGATGCACTTTTATGTGGATAGATTCACTTTTTTAAATATATAGATGCACTTTTATGTGGATAGATTCACTTTTTTAAATATATAGATGCACTTTTATGTGGATAGGTGCACTTTTATAGATGTCCAAAGACCTACAGTCATTCACTGGCATTATAAAGCTTGGAAGAGATAGGACATTTTTTTATTTTTAATAAACTATCCCTATCGTGAACTATCCCTTTAAGGCCTTAAAGTTTCGCTGCTAGAAGCGATTATTCAAAACAATAACAGGTGTAGCTTTATGACGCATGAATGAAATCATAGGAGTTGTTGTCTTCAACATGCAATAAAACAGCTGATTGGTCTGGATTTAATCATTGTTGGAATCATAACTCAAGTACACAAGTCAACCAAATATTTATAAAGAAAAATCTTACATAATGTGCCTTTTAAAAAGGTTTAAATGCACAAAGTCATGGTATTAAATGTTGCATGCATTGACAAATTTACATTTTCTTCAGTTCTTTCTTTTCTTTACAAGTTAATAATTAAAACAAGTATTTCCTTTAAAACATGAACAAATATCTTTCAATGAGTTATGAAAACTTCCCTTTGAATGACGTTTTTGGCAGATTTTCATGATCACTTCATTTTGATCAGTTTTACCGAAATCAAGACTTCATATTTGATGTCATTTTGCTTCTCCAGTAAATGTTTCTTGATTTAAACACGTTTAGACATTCGCACTGGATAAAAAGACAACATCACTGAGGAAATACAACTCGTGTTTCTCCCTATAGAGAAAATATTGACTTTGTATTCCTTTCAATATATTCCTTTTCCTTGGTCTTAAAAAAATCTTAAATTTCCCCTCATAAAAACAAACCCTGTTTTATCATAATCATATTGGCCATTATTCAGAAGTACATCACTATTGTATAGCATATGATATTAAAATGTTATAATGTTTCAGCCTCAAATGCCTCACTATTTGCAAATGCAACATCAATTTACATTTTAAACAATTACAAAAACAGTGAGTGTTATGATGAATGGTGTTTATGAATATCATGTTTTAGTGCATTCAGTCGTTGAGGATATGGTTATTTGGAAATATTACGACGCCGTCAGCTGCATCATAAACTCCCTCATGCAGGTAATCATATTTTTGTGATGTGTATTATGTTTACAAGAATCATTGCACTATTAATCATGACTCGCATTATAACCGTAAGAGCTCGTTCATAATGTTAAGATGCATTAGACATTATGATGCAGTGTTTTTATAGTATTAATATAGCAGTTATTGTTAATAAGCTGGTCTTCCGTTCTGCAGGTGCTTGGCCTGCGTTTCTAATCCTGGACCGGATCCAAACCAGAAAACACACACACAATTACAGTGTGACTCCAGTTAACCTCCGGCACCCAGTTAATGAGACACACACACACACACAACACACACACACACACCACACACCACACACACACACACACACACACACACACACACACACACGTGAAATATCACACTCACTCACTCGCTCACATATACAGTACATGCACTCACACATTCTCTGCAGGATCATGTTAAATGTAGTTTTCACCCGCAATTCTGCTTTTAACCATCTTTATTTATAAACTAGGTTGAAATAATGTGGACTAATGTCTTCAATAAAAGCCTAACTGTCGATTACTAACCTTGTAACTCACAGTAGGTCTGTCTGTAGAGGTTTGTAAGATCTCCTGTGCAGAAAATGACTGGGGTTTTATGTTTTTTACTGGATCATAAAACTGAAGTAGAAAGACTGATAATTCACTGATAAAACAGGTCTCTATAGAGAATCATTTGTTAACAAACAAGTGTTTATGCCTTAAATTATTACATTGTTTAAATTTGTTTAACTAGCTGTGATTTGTGATTTCTGAAATATTAACTTTAGACAGTTTTTTCTTTGATAACAGATCACTCGAAATTGTAATATGGACTCGTGCATTTTCTGTAAACATGCTTTGAAAAACACTATACAAATAAATGTGAATTGAATTAAAGCATTAGTTTATACCTTATTTGTGAAAAATGCCCATAACTTAAACCAAGAATGAAGTTGAATTAAATAAATACAAAATAAAAATTTAAAAAATATAACGACTCCCTCCCTCACTTTTACCCAATTTGTGGACTAAGTAATAATAATCTATAAATATTAAAAAGACTAATTTATATCCTATTTGTGGACTAAAATGATGAAATGAAATAAAATATATAAATATTAAAAGACTAATTTATATTTGTGGACTAAAGTAATGAAAAGTAATAAAATATAAAAATATTAAAGACTAATTTATACCCCATTTGTGGACTAAAGTAATGAAAAGAAATAAAATATATAAATATTAAAAAGACTAATTTATAGCCTAATATTTGGACTAAAACCAACCATAAAATGTAATTAAATTAATAAAAAATAAATTAAAAGGACAGTAATGAATAGCCTATTTATTGGACTAAAAGAAAAATAATGAAATTGAATTAAAAATAAAATAAAAAGGACCCTAATTTATACCCTATTTGTGGACTAAAATAATCATTAAATTTAACTAAATATAAAATAAATTAAAATATGAGGAGGACACTATTTATACCATATTTGGACTAAAACCAACCATGAAAGTAAATTAAATTAATAAAAAATAAAATAAAATAAAAGGACAGTAATGAACAGGCTATTTATTACACTAAAACAAATAATTAAATTGAATTTAAAATAAAAATAAATAAAAAAGGACACTGATTTATACCCTATTTGTGGATTAAAATAATCATGAAATTTAAGTAAATATTTGGACTAAAACCAACCATCAAATTTAATTAAATTAATAAAGAATAAAATAAAAGGACAGCAATGAATAGGCTATTTATTGGACTAAAACAACTAATGAAAATGAATTTAAAATAAAAAAGGACACTAATTTATGGAAAGTGCCCGAGAATGAACGTTTGAATTGAATAGCAGAAGATAAAGACAAAGAAGAGCCAAATAAAAATAAAAATAAACGGGAAGAAATCAAGTAGGAAGAGTGATGCGCCGTGTGTGAGATCTTCTGTAAGGAAGAGGCATATAAAGATCTGAAATGACCAGTTCATCTCCACATATGGTGCTTTAGCTAATGAAGGGCTTCTTCTTCACAGGTAGACTCATTAGCTGGCTCGGGCAGATGGTGGAGCGCGAGAACAGGCTGGAGATCTGTCCTACATCTGTGAGAAACTGCTGGACGTTACTGGACATCTGTAGAGGTCCACCACTGCGACCGGTCCGCCCGAATCCCTCGACAGCGCCGGGAGAAGTTCAGGATGACACTTCTGAGATGCACACGGAAAACAAGGTAAAGGATACTGAAAGAAAAAAAAAAAGTACAATATTTTTTATTTGAACATGCTTTTTAAAGATGATGTGGCTGCAAACAAGGAATGAATCCCAAATCACACACTATACATGCAGGTGAAACTTGAAAAACTAGAATATGGTGCAAAATTTCATTTATTTCAGTAATTCATCTTAAAAGGTGAAACTAAAATATTATATAGACTCATTGCATGCAAAGTGAGATATTTCAAGCCTTTATTTGTTATAATTTTAATGATTATGAAAACCCCAAATTCAAATATTGTGAAAAGGTTTTCATATCTATAATCCAAAATCATCAAAATTATAACAAATAACGGCTTGAAATATCTCACTTTGCATGCAATGAGTCTATATAATATATTAGTTTCACCTTTTAAGTTGAATTACTGAAGTTTTGCACGATACTCTAGTTTTTGGAGTTTCACCTGCTTGTTTAATGTGCCGAAGTAGGACAGATGCATCCCAAATGATGTGGAAATGCATGAAATGGCCGAAAGCATGCACAGCTTCTGTGATTACTCTAATGCATGAAATGACGTTCTGGTGCTTTCAACACTTTATGAGTGTGTGTCTCTATTATGATGTGCCTGTGCACAAAGCAGCATCCATACAGACATTATTTTATAGAATTATTGCATTTATTAGAAAGAGGTTTCCACATACTATAAAGGGTACAATGCCGAAATGCTTGTTTTGAACTATTTCTTCTAGTGGACTAGTAATGTTTGCATCCATGCATAATTTTTTATTTTATTTAGGCTGATATTGCATTTACAATATTAGTGATACTTCTCTGTATCCTCGTGATTTTTAACTCTGTAAAGCCTGGCATTTGAAATATATATATATATAATGTAAACATAAACTTTTATTTTGGATGCAATTAGCATCTAGCACTTAGAGCCTGATTATCATATTTTATGGATAATCAATTAAAGCTGAGTATCTTCAGTCTAGTTCATCTTGAAATATTACTAACAATATCAGTTATTCTTACATTACTTTTATAAGATTTCACAGTAGAGCGTGTTAAAATCAGGAAACTACAATAATTTCCACTTTCCTATAAGAGTAACTAAACACTTAACCAACTTTTTTTAGTTAATGATCTGTAAGAATGGATCTTTATTAATACCAGTCATTGATTTGAGTAACTTTTTATGGCATTTGTTTATAAAGTGTTCTATTTCTACAATATATGGTGTAAAAGCGTCTTAGTGCTGCCCTCTTCAGGTCGAACGGTGGCTACTGCAGTTGAATTTTCCAATTGGATGTTCCGCACTTCGTGACGTACGCAGGTTTCAGCTCGCCCTTGGCAGTATAAAAACCATCTTGTGTCGTCAAAACCACTGTAGGGAGTCAGGAATTGGAATTGTGAGTATTGAAAACGATCAGGATAGAGTGTTTTAGCATCTATTTCATCCCCTCCATCTCCGCTGGGGTCTGCCCACTTTTTCAGCATTTTCAAATATTGCCAGTGGGTGGAGTCAGGCTCTGACCAAGGGTTTAGTTACCCTCTAAACACTATTGTCATATATTAAACCATTTACAGTATTACTAATAAAAAAACAATCATAATGTAGAATTGCTTTTAGAGTTGTGCAGTCAATGTCATCATAACCATCATGTGTTTTCTATTTATTTACAATGGAAATGAGTGACAGTCAACTTCATCTCCAAACCCGCGTATGAGTTTTATTTTTCATTATATAGGCTATAATGTACGGAGGTACGGAGGCGTATTGCATTCACTTGAAGAAAAAAAAACTACTTTTCTGAATTAACGAGTTAATTTTTCATGAGAATTTTTTTTTTTGCTCTGTTTTTCTGAATTAACAAGTTATTTTTTCATGGAATTTTTTTTTTTTGCTCTGTTTTTCTGAAAAACAGAGCAAACACTTTTTTCTCATGAAAAATTAACTCATTAATTCAGAAAAACAGAGCAAAAACTTTTTTTCTCATGAAAAATTAACTCATTAATTCAGAAAAACAGAGCAAAAACTTTTTTTCTCATGAAAAATTAACTCATTAATTCAGAAAAAACAGCAAAAAAAATTTTCTCATGAAAATTAACTCATTAATTCAAAAAAACAGAGCAAAAACTTTTTTTCTCATGAAAAATTAACTCATTAATTCAGAAAAACAGCAAAAAAAATTCTCATGAAAAATTAACTCATTAATTCAGAAAAACAGAGCAAAAACTTTTTTTCTCATGAAAAATTAACTCATTAATTCAGAAAAAATAGCAAAAAAAAATTCTCATGAAAATTAATTCAGAAAAACAGAGCAAAACATTTTTTCCTCATGAAAAATTAACTCATTAATTCAGAAAAACAGCAAAAAAATGTTCTCATGAAAAATTAACTCATTAATTCAGAAAAACAGAGCAAAAACTTTTTTTCTCATGAAAAATTAACTCATTAATTCAGAAAAAATAGCAAAAAAAATTCTCATGAAAAATTAACTCATTAATTCAGAAAAACAGCAAAACATTTTTTCTCATGAAAAATTAACTCATTAATTCAGAAAAACAGCAAAAAAATGTTCTCATGAAAAATTAACTCGTTAATTCAGAAAAACAGAGTAGATTTTTTTTCTTCAAGTGAATGCAATACGCCTCCGTAATAATGGAAGTCAATGTTGTTCGTCAGTATATAAGAAAGACATGCAGGTTTGGAACGACATGAGGGCGAGTAAACTCTGTAAACATTATCCAAGGTGAGAGTGGCTTTGATATGTGTCCTTATTCCTTTTTAACTTTATAAACTGGTAGAGGCCCTAATTAAAGAATCAGCCCTTAATGTGTGTGATAGTGTGGTAAACAGGCCTGTGGTGTCAGTGAGTGTGTGAACATGTCCTCAGTGGGATTTATTGAAGTTTTCCCTCAGTGCTGCTGTTATGATGTTTTCCTCTTCTCTTCGCCGTGACCCCAGTGTTCTCCATCCATCTGTTAGTGGTAGTTTTGGCAGTGCCCTATCAGCACGAGTGCCAAATCTAAAGCACCTGTACGACTCTTTGCCAAACCATACACAAACACGCCACACCAACTGCCAGCTTTTGTCTTTCAAGAGCAAAATAAGGCTCGACGGCATCAGCCAATGCCACTGATGCAGAGATGCTTCCCACTCGAAAGCGTCGGCCAGAAGCCTCCTTCCCGCGGGGTCACGACGAGGTCAAGTTCAAGGATCTGACCCTGTACCTGGTGGAGAGGAGGATGGGAAAAAGCAGGAGGAATTTTCTCTCGAATCTGGCCCGATCGAAGGGGTTCTGCGTGGACGACGCTCTCAGGTACGGCACTCAGAAAAGCATTATCTGTAACGATTCCCTTATTTCACGATTCATGCATATCACGATACCATATTACTGCGATACTCCAAGACATGAGAAAAGGTGAACAAAAAATGCACTGTTGATTAAAAATGCTAAATTTGGTTTTACATTGTGTGTGTAAATGATTAGACTTGGACTTGGTGTTGAAACCCAAAGCACAGGACAATTATAGAGACACCAGAATAACAATATTCATGATTCTGAAGCTGAAAATACTGAATTATTTTAGATGAATATGCTTGCACTCTTTCATTGACTAGATATTCAAAATAATGTACTTGTAACATCAGACATGGGCATTATCAGGACACACAAATATTCCCACATTACATTATTATACACTATATTCAACATTATTTTACAGTTTAAAGGAGTAGTTCACTTTAAAAAAAACGTTTGCTGATAATTTACTCGCCCCCATGTCATCCAAGATGTCCATGTCTTTCTTTCTTCAGTCGTTTTTGATGAAAACATTCCAGGATTTTCTCCATATAATGGACTTCAATATGGGGTCCAAACGGTTCAAGGTCCAAAAGACAGTTTCAGTGCAAACTGTTCAAAGGGCTTTAAACGATTCCAGACGATGAATAAGGGTCTGATCAAGCGAAACGATCCGTCTTTTCAAAAATAAATAAACTTTACGTTTTTTATTTGTTCGTTTACAAAACGAACAAATCTTTTTCCGAGTCATTTGGTTCATTCAACAAACGAAATGAATGAAATGACTCAAAAAAAGATTCGTTCATTTTGATGAACAAGTTCGAACAGGAGAGTCACGAACGGCGACCATTTGAGCTTATAAAACTTAAACTTTGTTATTTATTTATTAAATTAGCGATGGTTTTGCTAGTTAAGGCCCTTATTCATCGTCTGGAATCATTGCACTTTTCTAAGCCTGTAAAGTGGATAACTAATAACTATAATGCATGGCGGAATACCACAGCAAGTGATTGGGAGCACTTCGACTCGGCGCATATCTATGGACTCGGCGCAGTAATATCATCACTCCGGAGAGGGAGAGGACTTTTCAAGAGTGATGATATTACCGCGCCGAGTCGAAGTCTATAGTATAGTATCCAGCTGCAGACCCGCAACACCAGTTTCAGAACCCCAGTTTCAGAACCCCAGCGCCAGAACCGGAAGTGAGGGGCGGCGTTAGATTCTAACCAACACCAGCGCCAGGAAAGTAATTGAGGGGCGGAGCTTAGATTCGAAACCTAATAACGCCACCTAACGTAATTTGGAGGGTATTTTACACATGAAACAGCTTTTATTGAACAAGAAACGTCCTACTCTCTACGTATGTTATGATGCTATACATTACTGTAGCTACAATAAGCATTTTAAAACATTGATTTTGTGTAAAATAATTGTATACAGTTTCAGTTATTCGTTTCATTGTATTACGACTTACTTCCTGATCATGATGGTGAAAAAAATAATACTTGAAACTTATGGGCATTTTAATGTAGCCTGGTTCGACTCTATTTTAATGTATAACAGTTTAATAATTTTAGCTAAGCAGTTTATACATACGTGTAGATTTAGGAAGATATGACCTTTGTTTTTTGGTTTTTATGAAGGAGTTAACTTTGTATAATAAAGCTTTGAAAGATATAAAACAAGACAATCATTGGAGGTTTTCAAAATTATACACAATCTGATAACTCATTAGACCTCTGTGATATTTTATGTTCTATTTATTTATTTATTTCTTTATTGTGTTTACAAAAATCTTAAATTGTTTTGATATTAAAGATGTATTTGTAAGATGATTTTGATTGTTTAATAAAAAATAAATAAAAAAAGCATGGGTATTTTTTTTTATAAAATATACTTTATTTCACAAGAACATGTGCAGCATGCATTTTTCGTGTAAAATAATGTCAAAATCTAAAAAAAGAGAAAATTCGGCATTATTTTGTTAAAAATCTATACAAAAGGACCAATTCAACCCAAGCTAGGCCTGTTTTATCACAACAATTTTGTTTAAATTTAACTTACAATGTATCAAATGAGGAACTCAAGGCCCGGTTTGTCCTTACATGCTTGCTAAAATAATTATAATGCAATAATAATAATTCCGCCCCTCCTTCACTTCCGGTTCTGGCGCTGGGGTTCTGAAACTGGTGGTGCTGCGGGTCTGCAGATGGAAGTGGAGGTGTTTGTGTTTGTTCGCTTCTCTGCTTGGCCCATATTGAATGAACTGGGCTAGTTAAGTGCGATCAAAGTGTCTCGCGCGCCAGAGCGATTGAGCGCACGCACTGAGACGACAGAGCAGAGGTGTGTATCAATTCATAACATAGCTTTAAGCGTTAAACCAACAGTTCATTCCTCACATATATACTGAACTTGGGATTCTTGGATGCTGTAAAAGTAGTTGTGTAAAGAAACCCCATCCAAATATGCTTGGAAAAGGTTGTGTGGAATTCAAAGTTAGATGACGCTAATGTCGTTCCACTATTCGTTGCAATGCAAGATAAAAAATAATTTGCAAAGTATCTCGAGCAATGCATTAATTCCAGACACGTTAGTGTCGTGCAAATTCAAAAGTGACAAATCTTGCATGAAAAGCGTCTTACCATGACGAGACAAATGTAACGTTACCGACCAAGACAATGAACCGATTGCGAAAACAGTTATCGGCACTTTCTGTTTTTCTTCGAGTGCGATTTAACAAACAAACTCAGATCCCAGTAGAGAGATTTCCCTAAAGACAGTGAGTGACATACATCTCTCTGGCAAACAGTTTTCAATGTATAATATTTTAATTTGATGCAAATCGCAGGGATAATGAGTAGTGCAGCTGGTGTCTCCATGCTTTTCAGGACAGAAGTTTTCTGTAGAAAATGATGTTGTAATAATAGCACAGAAACTATAAATTAAAACCTCAGTAACTGTTGATTTAACATAATTAATCAGTCACTTCGAGTAAAAAAAAAAAAAATGAAATTACAAGTATACACTAACTTACACTATCAGGCAAAAGTTTGATCGCATTAAATTGATCAAAAGTGACAGGAAAGACATTTATAATGTTACAAAATCTTCTATTTCAAATAAATGCTGTTCATTTGAACTTTCTATTAAACGAAGAATCCTGAAAAATTGATCATAATTATAAATGTTTCTTGATCATCAGATTCTCATATGGTGATTTGTGAAGGATCATGTGACACCGAAGACTGGAGTAATGATAATAAATTCAGCTTTGATCGCAGGAATAAATATGTATTGACATAAAAAATGGCTATTTTAAATTATAATAATATTTAAAATTTTACAGTATTTTTGATCAAATAAATGCAGCCTTGGTGAGCAGAAGAGCTTTCAAAATGTTTAAAAATTCTGAATTATTTCGCACTTTTTTTTGACCAGTGAGTTAAAATGCGTAAAATGCGAGTGTGTAATAAACCTGAGCCGTGAAGTGCGGTGTGTTGTTCTTCTCCTGATGTCTGCTCGGTCAGACGTGATGCACGGCTGTTGGTGCCAGTTTGTGCCAGTTTGTGCAGGTGGAGGAGCACCAGTGGGAGTTGTTGGTGTAGATGGGCATAACAGCACCAGCAGTTTCCCGTAGCGTATCGCGCCGTTCCCAGCTGAGCGATGGCATCATTCCCAGAAACACAGCTTGAGCTCACGCGTCTGCAACCAACCACAGGAAACGCATCGTGACGAGCTGAAAACTGACGGTTTATAAGCCACTGAGGGTTTGATATCAGCATGAGTCTGATAATACAATGCCCTGTAAAGATTCCCCGGGTATTACACAGAACGCAGAGCATGAGGCGCACGAGAAAGACTGGAGACGAACTGTTAAAACATTTATAATGCACATCTTATTTTATATTGATTTCACTGAAGCTGTTTAATAAATCAAGCTGTGATTTGATTGCAGTGGAGTTTGATGTAAGAGGAAAATGTTCTTGCTCAGAAGTTGCACAAGATATTCTCGTAAAACCCCATGAAAAAAAGAGTATGGTTTTTGGTATTAGAAAACAAAGCAAGCCCAGTCCAGATGAGATAATGTAAACGTAAAGGGGAAATATGCAAAATCCACTTTTTTAGCCCTTAAATGCATTTTGTTGTATATTTGGAGTGTTTATAAGTACAGAAAATATGAAATTATTCTCTTCAGGTGCTTCGTTTATATCTTTATATTCTGTTTTGGTCATATTTTTCAACCTGTTCAGATTTTTCTGTTTTCTAATTTTTTTTAACTATAACGTCACCGTATTTGCAGCGGAACTGCCAAATAAGGACATCGACTTCCGGTCCAACACTTCGAGCAATCCGCCATTATTATTTCTCGCTCCGATTTTGTAGTCCGAGCTCAATGATGCAGAAGTTACGAGAGGGCAAGTCAAAATGTTCGGTTGTTGGATGTACGTTAGTGACCTGAAGCACTTCAAGGTTTCCCACTTCAACAAAAGAAGGGTTTGCCGATCGACTTCGTCTGAATGAGAGGTAAATTCCTTCTATCTTTGGAGACGACGAACAGAGCATTTCGATAAGCTGTAAATATCGTTAATAAAAATAAAGTACTTTACTTTATTAAAACACATGGTGGTCATGGTTTAGCAGTACCTTTGTCTTTCCTTGTTTTTGTTTTGAAGTAACGTTACACGTCTGCAGTGTTATTGTTATTGTCATTTAGCTGCTTTTCTAAACGTATCATATTATCAATACAGATTTTTTGTGGTAAGATTAGACCGTAGGTCATTTATCTTGTCAGTGTGCTTGTTTTAACAAGAGAAATAGTCGACTTTCACTAATAACACAAAACAGTTAACTCAGTCACATACCAATACATCCATATGAAGAAGAGGTTGTTCTGCAGGTTTCGTCGTCGTCTTTATCAACTCGCTCGCTCTGGCTCGAATATGTTAGGCTTGATGGACAAGTCTTCTCTTGTTGACATTTTATTAACGTGTGAATAAAAATGTTCTTTGAAGGTATCGTATATAATCGTATATCTCTAATCAAACTACAATAATGGCCGAACGGGGGAGTTGAACCGACCGTGAACTCATCGACCTGGAGAGCGGGCGGGGTGTGACGCATCTCCTTTTTATTTAAAGGGGCCGCTTTGAAACGGGTCGCTCACAGACGCACATCAGAAAAGGGGCTTGTGGAGCTATAATAATGAGGAATTCAGACCCAAGCTTTGCAGTTATGCTTTATATAGACCACAACGGTATGATTTATATGTAAAAATTAATGATTTAAAAGCATGATATGTACCCTTTAAACTTGTTGTAACCTTATAAATACCTTCGCGTGCCCTTCACTTTTTTGGCGGGTTAATTTTACATAATTTTACGAGTGCTGTCCCAAGTTACCTGGTATTTATGGGGGAGTAGCCATAGATATCTATATAAAGGCTAGATATGTCGTCCAAGCTGCTGGCCAATGGAGGTCGACGTCTGCACCTGGCGGCCATCTTGTCACAGGCAGCTCGCTCACTCGTAACATTGTGTTAGTGGTACATGTACTATTTAAATGACCATAACTTGCTCAATTTTCTACCGATTTTCAAACGGTTTGTTTTGTTATAAATGTCAGAGATGTAGTTATGACACGGCATACTTATAAATAAATAATCATCTAGATAATTATAGCCACGTTAATAACGTTTGTAAGAAACCAAACCGTTTGTAAATCCGTCAAGATTTCAACGAGATAAGAGTATTTGTGTTCGTGCTGACCACTCATCTTACATCAGCTTGTCTGTGACAAGATGGCCGCCGGTGATGCCGATGGAAACTCCGCCGTAACACATCTAGCCTTTATATACATATCTATGGGAGTAGCTACTAGGGTTCGGGCTAATTCCGAGCTCGAAGCCCTTTCCCCCGGACAGCACGCCAAATATGCATTAAAAATTCTCCCTCGAAGTGTAAACTAGTGAAATGACAGTTGTCATAAAAATTCATAAAGCCTTTATGTGTCCTGTCATGATTATGAAGGTGTCATGTCACACCCCTTCAAGTAAAGTGTGACCCGCTTGACTTATTTTATTGAGTTAACGCTATGCAAAAATCTATAGATCATATAATTCAAGAGTCAATCAATAATAAAAGATTGAGGGTTTTTTTGTGTGTGCATCTAACAAGCCGTATATTTTCCGGTTGATGATGAACAGTGAGGGACTTATTTCTCAGGTCACGTCACGGGTCGATTTTCCCTGAAACTCTCGTCGGTGGTTAATCTCAAACATCCGTGTGTTCTGCCGTCCTCCTTCCCCGTGACGTGAGCCGACTGCAAGCGATGCCCGACGTGGGTAATTTCGTTTAGCGACTGCTTTGACAGACACAGTAATTTACCAAAGTGCTGAAAGCTCGGACTGACTGAGCCGTGTGTGTGTGTTATTATAGCCGTGCTTCTGATCAGACACGTCACATACACACATCCTAATGCAGATCCCGGTGTGAAAGTCCACCTGATTTGATTTCACACACTATAATCTGATCTCAGACAACCACTAGAGAAATTAAAAACGCATGTGGGTGTGTGTGAGAGAATCAATCAATCGCAGAGTAGATGTGAAAGTGAATTAAGGTGCTTTGCAAACAGCCACACAATCTGAGGTTTCTTCTGGAACTCGTTACGTGTGTCTAATGGTGTGTATCTTCTGTTTTCAGTGGTAACGTGACTCACGTCGTGTCTGAGGGAAACGCAGCGCAGGATCTCTGGCACTGGTTGGAGGAGCAGGGGTTTGGGGAGACACCACATACACACGTGCTGGATGTCAGCTGGTTTACTGAGAGCATGAGCGCTGGACGGCCTGTGCTGGTGGAACTGAGACATTACATACAAGTAAGTGCACTTCAGAGAACACATGTGGTGTTTCTCAATATCCTTCGCTCATCCGTCCTCCATCCGACGACCCGGAAGCCGATCGAGCAACACTGCAAAAAATGCTTCGTAGTTTTGTCTCGTTTCCAGTCCAAATATCAAAAAATTATTTAAATCGAGATGCATTTACTTAAAGGTGTGTGATTTTTAGCGGCATCTAGTGGTGAGGTCTTATCAAGCGAAACGCTCGCTCATTTAATAAATACATAATAAAGTTTAAGGTTATAAGCTCAAATGCTCGCCTTGATCTGTGACGCACGTTTGTGACTCTCCTGTACGAACTTGTTCATCAAAATGAATGAATCTTTTTCAGAGTCATTTGGTTCATTCAACGAACGAAACGAACAAATTGACTCAAAAAGATTGGTATTTTTGAGTATTTTTGTCTAGTTTCTAGTCCAAATATAAAAAAAATATTTGAAACAAGACGCATTTACTTAAAGGTGTGTGATTTTTAGCGGCATCTAGTGGTGAGGTCTTATCAAGCGAAACGATCGCTCATTTAATAAATAAATAATAAAGGTTAAGTTTATAAGCTCAAATGCTCGCTTTGATCTGTGACGCACGTTTTTGTGACTCTCCTGTACGAACTTGTTCATCAAAATGAACGAATCTTTTTCAGAGTCATTTGGTTCATTCGACGAACGAAACGAACGAATTGACTCAAAAAGGTTCGTATTTTTGAGTATGTTGTCTCGTTTCCAGTCCAAATATCAAAATAATATTTGAAACAAGACGCATTTACTTAAAGGTGTGTGATTTTTAGCGGCATCTAGTGGTGAGGTCTTATCAAGCGAAACGATCGCTCATTTAATAAATAAATAATAAAGGTTAAATTTATAAGCTCAAATGCTCGCCTTGATCTGTGACACACGTTTGTGACTCTCCTGTTCGAACTTGTTCATCAAAATGAACGAATCTTTTTCAGAGTCATTTGGTTCATTCGACGAACGAAACGAACGAATTGACTCAAAAAGGTTCGTATTTTTGAGTATTTTGTCTCGTTTCCAGTCCAAATATCAAAAAAATATTTGAAACAAGACGCATTTACTTAAAGGTGTGTGATTTTTAGCGGCATCTAGTGGTGAGGTCTTATCAAGCGAAACGATCGCTCATTTAATAAATAAATAATAAAGTTTAAGGTTATAAGCTCAAATGCTCGCCTTGATCTGTGACACACGTTTGTGACTCTCCTGTTCGAACTTGTTCATCAAAATGAATGAATCTTTTTCAGAGTCATTTGGTTCATTCAACGAACGAATTGACTCAAAAAGGTTCGTATTTTTGAGTATTTTTGTCTCGTTTCCAGTCCAAATATCAAAAAAACATTTGAAACAAGACGCATTAACTTAAAGGTGTGTGATTTTTAGCGGCATCTAGTGGTGAGGTCTTATGAAGCAAAACGATCGCTCATTTAATAAATAAATAATAAAGGTTAAGTTTATAAGCTCAAATGCTCGCCTTGATCTGTGACGCACGTTTGTGACTCTCCTGTTCGAACTTGTTCATCAAAATGACCGAATCTTTTTCAGAGTCAATTGGTTCATTCAACGTATTTTTGTCTTGTTTCCAGTCCAAATATCAAAAAAAAATTTTATATCAAGATGCATTTACTTAAAAATGTGCGATTTTTAGCGGCATCTAGTGGTGAGGTTGCGAATTGCACCCAACAGAAGTTACAGTGGCTGACAGGAAGTGATGTTATCATCTAAGACAACAGAGTTTAGCCAGAACTTTCTTTACAAAGATAAATTAAGTAAGTAGGTTTACTTAATTATTCAGTAAAATGATATGTTTTTGCGAATAACTTGTGTCAGTGTTTTATTCGTTGACATTAGCAGCTTCTTTGCACGAAGAACAATATAGTGACGAAACGCGTTTGTCCGTTCAGGGCCACCGTAGAAACATGTCGACGTAAGGAGACCCGGCTCATTCTAAGCTAATAAAAACATAACGGTTCATTATGTAAGGTCTTTATACACAACTAAAAACATGATATTGCATTTCTGTCAACAGATCCTCCTAAATATTAGGCTATACAATGTACATTTATGTAGTAAAATGCCATACGTCGTTTTCTAAGGCAATAAATGCAAAATAAGTGAGTTTTTGCTGAAAACAAGCTAAATTATCTGCCAATGGGGTGAGAAAAATACTCTGGTTTCTGTTTGAATTAAGATCATTTTTCTCACTCTATGACTGATAATTTAGCTTTTTTAAGCAAAAACTCACTTAATTTTAATTAAATAAGGCATAAAACCTTATTGCAATTCACTCATCTAGTAAATGATCTTGATTTAAGAATTTTTAGATATTTGGACTTGAATAAGACAAAAATACAACGCAAGAAGAGCATTTTTTTTGCAGTGAGCTGACACATGTATACATTCTTGTCCCGCTTCACATCTGTCACAATCATTTTAATTTATGCTTTATCTTTAGTTTGCATACAGCACACATATATCAACAGGGCATCTTGCTTTGACTTTATTATTTATTAATTTCTTAAATAACCAAACTTTAACAACATTATAATATACAAATAAGCTTTCCTTCCATTCCTCCATCCTTGCAATATGAGTCGCATGCCGAAAGCTTTTCTGATTGGCCTCCTTATGACATCACGTCCTTATAGACACGCCCACCTGGAGGACAAAACCACAAAACAAGTTCTGTGTCTAATAGTCCCTATACCCTTAAAGTCCCCCTGTGGTGAAAATCAAGCTTTTAATACGCTTTAAGACAAACCATGTGCAAGTTCATTAGTCAAAAGACTTTTTAAAGTCAGTATTCTTGAAAATTTGTCTAGTAGAAATATCTAAATGTCTTTTAAAACAAGATATATATACTGGATAAGTGATATACATACTTATTTCATAGGATTAGTATCATTTTTGGTGTAACTTGTCGCCTTTTGCCTTTTTAATAATAATGAAATATGAGGTCTGTAACTTTATTTTGTAACTGTAATGTTGCTTAAATCTTCATTTACAGTTTAGGACCATGCAACATGTTCAGATTGGTTGTTTTTAGCATTATTTTGGGGGTGATTCTGTCCTGGAGCACTGGGTGGCGCTGTGAGCCCAAAAGCATTTCTGACACTGTACATGTAAAGTAAGAGATATAACCATGTCTTTATTAAGAGCAGGGAAATAGATCAAATAAAATGTGTAACAGCTTCTTGTACTAGAGCGTTTCAGAACATTCATGACTCATTTTTACCTCCAAATTGTTCTTTTATCTCCAAAAAAGCATTTTTTATCTTGAATGCGCCTAAATTACATTCCTATAGAAAGCAACTTCACAGCCACTTTGGGAAATAATACAAAAAGGACATTGCATTTCACATGTTGTGTTGGCTGCAAAAGCACATTTCATAAAACCGAAAGGCCAGCGTCCGACGCCTCAGAGTGATGTTTAATACAGCGCCAAATAGAGGCATCAGCGCGACGCCGGGCCTCGTAGCGCACCGCTAACTGACGCTGAAGACTGATTCTCCACCCCTGGACAACGCCGTGGGCGCTTCCACAACATATGCGCTAACCCCACATAAAGAAATATGCTGCCTGTTGGAGGACCTCCATTAATCTCTCTTCTCCTCCTCAGCGGGGACGCAGACGAGCAGAGGTTGTCCATCTTGCGTAGCCGCCAACCGTGCCCGAAAAGAAGCGGAGGAGGACGGATGACTGTAAACTTGAGTTCGCCTCTTATAGCTGGTTTGGGTCTGCCGACTAGAAAATCTCTTGTTTGCTTTTAACCGGCATTGATTGAGGCGTTTAGCATCGAGCTGCTTTGATTGATATGGATATAATAGGCGGGTAATGATGCAGAAGACAATAATTGATCTGCAACAATAGTGAGACTTCTGTCATGTCATTCCAGACTAGTATTTCTGTGAAGAAATTTCAAATTTGTGTTCAAAATCTTCATGCAGCTCTTTTCCACATGGTGGCCATGACAAAAAAAGTATTTAGAGCCTATATATATATATATATAAAGAGTTCAGATGCAAAAGCCTCTCAATGCCATTTGAAATTTTCTTCTTTAATGATGATTTTTTTTTTATCAAACTTGTATATTTAAGTTCAGTAATTTCACTTAAATAACAATTAATAGGTAATCTTCATTGCAATTTAAGTGAAATCACTGAACTTAAATATACAAGCTTGATAAAAATTATCATTCTAGAAGAAAATTTCAAATGGCACTTGGAGGCTTTTGCATCTGAACTCTTCATATATATATATATATATATATATATATATATACTCTTAGAAGAAAAGGTTCTATATAGAACCTTAAAAGGTTCTATCAGCGCTACGTATTTGGAACCCCTAAAAGGTTCTATACACTCTTAAAAAAAGAGTTCCTCTGGGTTCTATATAGAACCCTGGGGTTCCATACTTGGCCAATAGAAACTGTTACCAAAAAAAAATGGTTCTATATAGAATTTTGCAGTTCCATATATGAAGCGGGGGATGGAACCATTTCTTTTAAGAGTGTGTGTGTATAGACCATTTCACAAGATGTAAACAACACTGGTCCAGAAGCACTTCCTGTTTCAGTTTTTTAACACTACATAAAAGCTGGGATAAAATACAACCAACAGAACATATAAAACTGAATCAAAAAGTTAAACAAACATCTTTAAGATGTATTCTTTATATGTGAAATAAAGAAAACAGTTACAAACTGAAACAGGAAGTGCTTCTGGACCAGTGTTGTTTACATCTTTTGAAATGGTCTATATATATATATATATATATATATCCCGTGTCTGATGAAGAGATGTGGTGCTTTGTGAGAAGAATATAGTGGTGCCGTTAGATGGATCACCACAGGTTTGATGTCATTGACAGTGAATGACTTAAACTTGGGTTTTTCTCTCATGCAAGCAATCAGATTTGGAGAATATAGCGACATCTTTCACACTTTCATGGTAGTTTTTAGTCTTTTGCAGA